AATCCAAGACCGCAGCCATCCTTTCGACTTTTCGATTCGACCGCGGTCACTGTGTGTGAGTCAAAACAAGACGCCGGGCTAACCCCTGGACTGTGTGCGGGAATTTACCGTTAATTGCACATAAAAGCCCTTTCACGGGACCTGATAAACCCTTAAATAATTCTTGATTTTTTAAACATAGGTAACTCAAATGTTTTCAGAAAGGTATTAGCATCGTGTCCTCGTAACTACAGCCTCAGGGGACAGGATTAGCAAGCAAGTATAGAATTCTTCTTCTCCGCTGTCGGTAGTATCTTTAACATCGTCGGACGCAAGTTAAAATATTAAAATACTGTTTTATCTTGTAGTCTTTTATGAGGTCGATGCCAAGTCAGACAACGGTACCACCATACAGCTTAGTATGTTATTGTGGAGTTCAATAATAGTTAGTGACAACATAATTGCTCCTATCAGTTTATTGGCAGCCTGAAATGATTTTAAATTACTATCTCCCGTTACGTTATCAGTAGTAATAATATTGTGCGCCCTTAACGGCACTTCTTAGGGAAAATAATGCAGAACAAATTGGAGCCCAAAATGCATCTGAGTAGTAATCCATATACATGTTAACGTCAATAATTATATTCCGTGACATTGCAATCAAGCAGGGGATGTGAAAAAATATTTCGAATACAATAAGTGTTGAAACTAATTCGAAGGATACGGATTGTGTGTAATTAGCGAGGACCTCGGATAAAGCCAGTCAATGAATGGGACGGAATTGCCATTAACGGGCGTATATCGCTCTACCACGCTAAGTGTATGTATATTCACAGAACTTGACATTAATTTTGGAAGATGGTGCACAGGAGAAAGACGAAATTTAAGCGGATATCGATAAACATCCTCCACAGAGAGAAGTGTCCAGCAAGCGAAAGGCACCCAGTAATAATTAAGGCAACTTGCATCCTTTCCGTTAGAAAAGAGCCGATAAATAAAGCGAAAATTTCTGATCACCTTTATAGAACAATATAGTCTCGGTTGATACAACAATCTCAGAAATAAACTGCGGGGTACGCACCTCAAATGGAATTTCCTGTCAGAAGTAGGAGGAATGCACGACAAGGAGCGTTCCAAACCCTAATCACCACTATCCCATCTCCTTGCATCATATCTTATTATATCAATCAAACTACCTATTTAAGCATTTTTTCTGCCATAATTTTTTTGGAAATCAGTGGCTTGCTGAACTCCGCCGCGGATATAGGATCTTTTTCACTGCCTTCTCAGTTCCCCATATTTATCTAATATTGTTGACCATTACTTTATGAAAGGGTCCGTTGTAAATCGAATCTGACTTACTATGTGTAACATACTGCTCATTCCTGTTGGTATACAGTTTCTTACGCGCAACTGTGATTACCAATCTTGTATTTACTTTTACCACAACTCTAAGTTTTTAATTAAAGGACCCCTTGGACCTGAAATATGCAATTTATTTATGCAGTGGAAAAGTTTATTTACAATATTACCAGCAAAATTTTGCAAACCGGTTAATCCCCGAATGGTTAAGAATAAAGGAAAAGACAGATATTTAATGCAGCCCATGGTGAAATACACAGAGATCGTTTTTTGAATACTATTGACGCGGATGAAGACTCAGGTTAAAATAAAGGATTTTCGATATAGAGCATATATAAGACAATGACAGTTTGTAAGGCAATTTAAGGGACAAGCGATCTTTCTGAAATTTTCGAGTTTTAAATTCGATCCGTTAGTATAAGTGTGATCTGAGTGGATGCAACGAGAAAAAACAAAAGGAGGGTAGAAGATGTTCTAAAACGCAAATATGTATGGCTAAATAATAGAGTTGGTACTGCATAGGAACTATCAAGCTCCGTATAACCGAATGGATTTCGAAAAAAAGTATACAAGACTTTTCGCTGATATAATATTCATTGACACTGAGTACATCATCAAAAGGCACGGAAAAGTTGCTTTCGCGCTAAAGAACACATCCCAAATCTTCCATGGAAGTCTGTACGTCTATTTAAAATCACGCCGGATCCGCCGGTATTCAGGAGTACAATTATTAAGCGCATCACGACAGCATTCAGTTAATGAAAATATGAGAAAAATTACGACGTTTGCTATTGTACGTATAGCCCTTTCTTGCAACATATAGTGTTTTTACAGGCATGGCCGCCACGCCCGTATATCTTCTCAGCTAACCCTTTATGTATATCTACGCAAGGCCCATTGCTTATAAAAGAACGCTAGCCGCTCTTTTTGCAGACCTTTGGCCACTGCTTTGAACCTTGGGCAGTGATCAACAATTTAGAATACTTCCTAATGGGTTCTGGTAGTCGATGTGCACGATATCGCCGATGTGTCTTCAGATAACGCATGTGACCACCGCTCCACTGGGCAGAGCACATAAGTCAGACGGGATTTGTTACTTCAAAAACCACGTTGGACGAGCAATGTTGCGATTATCTCCTAGCAACTTCATTGTGAAGTTTTTGAGTATTCTTTGTATAACGTTATACTAAATGCATGTTAGGCTCACCGCCCTATAGTTGTCAATACTTATTCTGGACTCAAATTAGCAATGCAGTTTAAA